GAATCCGTATTGACCGAGTTGATCCTAGCGCAGCTTTTTCTTGGCCCACTCACCATCCTGAAGATGACTCTGCATTTCCCTGCACGTTGCGGGCAACCTGTTTCTCCTGGCTGGGGAATTCTGGGAGTTGAAGTCCACACAGCTTAAAGTGGCCAAGGTCAAAACAGCAGGCTGAATTGGGGCCCAAACCCAACAGGCATATGATGCAGCCTTCTTACAATTAGTGTATAGTAAAATGCTCCCAACTGAATATATCTATTAATATTCTGGTATATGCAGTTGGTGCTAGTGAGATAGCCCTACATATAAACAATCATAATAATCCAACTGAATTACCAGAGCATGAGCCACCATAGGCAGATGATTCCTGTCCAGAAATGGTACAAGAAAGAAACGTAGCCACTAAGGTTACCTGACCTTCAGTAGGCACTGCTTGACCAATGAGTAACCCCTAAACTATACCAAGATGGGATCCCAAGGCCTCTGAAAGGAGGACGCATTACCAGTCCTAAGCTATACACATGCTCTTTTAGAGCAGTACAGCCCTGCCTAGAACAGGATGCACCCCAGATTTCTAGACATGTAAACTACCTACCTACACAGGGTCTATTAAAAATACATTTTTAATGTATTGGTTCTTATTCATGCTGAGTCCAGAGAGTGGTCTAGAATGGATTGGTAGCCTGATGCCTGCTAGATGTTTTGGGCATCTCTTATCTGTCCTTATAAGCATGGTCAATGGAAAGTCAAAATGTTTGGCAGGTACCCAATTGCCTATTCTTGATCTAACACCTGCACAGCTTAATTTGAGTCAGATGACAAGGACAAATAGAGCTGGGTGCCAGCCACAAATTGATGATGCTTCAAATTCTCTGATGAGCTCATCTAGCAGCTTCATACTGATATGAAAAGGCTTATTTCACTTATTTCACAAGTGCCATAGGGACAAGTAGAACTATCACCCCAAACACTATCTTTAGGAATTCACCCTGTAGATAAATGGTGGAACCCTCACATCCCTATGCCTTCTGTAGTCAACCCACACAGTTGCTTCCACAAGATGTGCGGCCAACAATATCAAAAGACGCTGCAAAATCAAAGCAAATTCCAGTCCACCTGTTACTCTCTTCACTAGGCCATCCTACAGAACATCCAAGGTCATTTCAATGCTGAAACAGATCAAAACAGTTCTAGATTACTTAACTAATCCCAAAGCACTTGCCGCTGACTCACCAATATATTTCCAACACTTTGTACAAATAAGTTTATTACTGTAATACCTTTTCCCTCAGAGAAAAGACCCTTTATGCACTTTCAGAGAGCCTTTTTCAATGGCTAGGAAATAATGGGAGTGCTGGCTGGAGAAGATGGGAATTGGGTACCAATACATCTGAAGGGCTTCAGTTTGTACAAGACTGCTTTAGAATAATCCCATCTTAAATTTCCAAAACCCTCTAATTAGTGAAGGATAAGCTAAGCAGGCTTTACCTTTATTCTGTCGATATTGGCCTCCATTTTGAGCTGTTCCACCAGCTTCCTTGCTTGCGCTATGCTGGTGGTGTTGTTGCTGGCCATCAGAGCCCTTCTTGTATATAGATGTTGGTTCCTGCCTCTTCAAATGCACTGCCAAAGAAAAGAGAATAAATTAAGGTGATCCATCAGGGAACTAATAAACTGCCAGATTTGCAAATCTAGCTGCAGGGACAGGGAATCTAATAAAGGAAATTGTGCTTAATAATCATGCAAAAGGTACAGTTTCACTAGCAATGAGATCTCAACCCTTTGTTCTGTGTGTTTGATTTTTTTTTTTTTTAAGGTGTCTTAGCCACTTCAGAGGATAGTTCTGGAAAAATGTAGCTTGCTATGGAAGGTTTTTGTAAGGACTGATTGAGACATATAAAACTAGCCTTGTTTTGGAGGAGAGAATGTATTTGAGCAGAACAGGAAGCATTATGCAGATTCCCCAACTATTAAAACCTACTCCCCCCACCAAAAAAGTTTGAGAGTTGACAGAAGAGATGGCAATAAGGATGGAACTTTGTTGTTCCTTATTATAGAAGTTAAAGTACAGAAGTTTGGAAAACTACTGTACTTCATTCTGTGGTGTTACAGCTGTTACTGACTTCCAGCAAGCTCTGCCAATGTGATCAACAGCAAAGCACATCTGGACACTTACAAGTTCTGTTCCTCAAGTAAAGGGCTTTATATGAGTCAACAGACTTAGTGCTGTTTTTGTATCTTTTAAATTTTAGTTAATTTATTGTTCCAGCCTATAAATACATAATGTACAGTTATCAGATATGCAATAAAACAGTCTTTAATGAACTAAATGTAAAATTATATAAAATCAGGTTAATAACCATAAAAATTGTTGCAAGAGTAAAATCATTTAATTACATTATGGGGTAAGTGTTTACGATGATCAACTATGTCTTAAGCAAAACCTGCCAAGTTCCACAAGACAGCCATGTTCCATGTTTTCCATTAACAATTTAATTTTATGGTATTTCAGCCAGAATATTTTTCTTTTCAGAAGCATCATGGTGTTCAGTACATGCAGCAGATAATTTGAGCAATAAAGCAGATAATGAGGGATGTTCTCTAAACTGCCATCCAGACAGAGGCGATGTATTGGAAGTGTGAGATTTTAAAGAAACAGCTGTCACAGCCATTTGTTCTACCTGTAATTTAGTGTTAGACTAAATGGTCTACCTGTTAGTGCTGATCAGAGGGAAGGGACAATAATGCATTTCAAATATTGCTCGCATTCAATCTTGGTTTTTATAACTGTACAGCAAGAGGCAACTTTGTTGTTAGCAACTGAACTTAAATCAACTTGTGCAATATCAAATATCCTGTTCTTAAATGCCCGTGAAGCTGTCAAGATGTTCCTAGATGCAGAATATCTGGTGAATCTCCTCTGGAATAAATGAGGCCCCCTCAGTGTCCTGAACCAATATGGATTATTCATTGGAACCTCTTCCACATTGCAGTAACTATAGTGTGATTTATTTGATTTGGCTAAGTGTGTTGTGTCACTGTGAATGATAAAGCACACTCTATGGCTTAGCATTTGTGCAAACTGTGATAACTATACCTTCATTAGTAAGCTATAATTAAGCAAACTATGCCTTTGCCCAGGGTATGAACTCAGTCGTGTCTAACAGCTGCATAATGGGCAAAGTTTCAGCTTTGAATAAAGAATTTCCGAGACCTCTCTACTCATCCAAGACCTTCAGCAGAAGCTATTTTCATGTATCTAAACTAATTATTGAATGAACTCATTTTCTGGGTTCATACAACACATCAGTTAAACAAATGGCTGGATTTGTACAACACAGTTAGCCACACATACACAAATCCAACCAATAGTAACACTAACTAACCAAGCTATGCATGTTGTCCAAATACAGCTATCAGGTCTTGACTGGACCTGGTTAAGCATATTTTGTAAACACAAAATGGAAGGGACTGACTCAATTTCAACACATGTGCTAACATAATGAAAGCACTGTTAGGCACTCCTGCAGGAGAGCAAATGCAGACAACAGGATTGTTTTTCCAGAATTGCAGGCTTCACATGTACAAATAGACAAGAACATTCACAAAACATAATGAGGCTGCTAAGCAGCCAAAAATGTAGACCAGGACATTTGCAGGGAGAATGATCTCCAAAACCTTTCTTCCATATTCCCAAACTCACCTACTTACTGGATTTTCAGGGACAATTCTCATTATAACACCTGTTGCCATTCCACTCAATTTACAAAGAAAAACTTTGAACTCTGATATATTTGCAACACTCTACTCATCACCCCCTTCACATTTCTGGCAAGTGCTACCATTTAAGACCTGATCTCTTGCAGCCACTTCTTCTTTCAGGTGGAAGCTCAATAGATGCAGCTTCACTTCATCCAATTCTGTGACTGTGGAGCTGTCGGAACATAACAATCCTTTCAGGTTTTTCTTTTTTTTTTTTAATATAAACATTTTCTTCTTTTTGGGAAATGTACCTCTGAAATTCTGACTGCTTTTTCTTGGATAACTCCATGTAATTCATTTTGGTCATCCTCATTTTTTATTCCTAGCAGCAAAATATCCTGAAATGTCATTCACTCACAGGATTTCTTGAAGGTGTAAGCTCAATTGTGTTTTTTTGCTTTGGAACTCTATGGTTAATTAAAGCAAAGATACCATCTCCTCACCCTATTAATTATGTTATCTTCACATAACACATTCACTCATAGTTAACTGAGCCATGGTTTACTCAATTATCCAAATTTTCTATTTGCATGACATACTAACTGACCACAGTTTATATAGCTCAGTGCATTGTGTGAGCAAAGCAGGGAGTTATGGAGAACTTGAAAACCTGCATGTAGTTTTGGTTTGTCACATGAAAGGGTTCTTCTCCAATCTGATGCCTCCAGACATGTCACTTTAAGTGATCTATGGTTATCCCTACAGCTTCAGAAAGTTTTATGTACTGGAAAATAGAGAATGATTTTTTTTCTTTTTTTAATTTGGGAACCCTGTGTTCTCTTTCCCACACTCTATAATGCACCTCTAGGCTAGATAGCTCATCACACTGTGATTTTATAGGATCTGCCAATGCAATTTTCTTCTTCAAAATGCCTGGCAATCGAGAATGCAGTTTTGCTGTCATTCCCCTTGCTCTCATCACAAACAAAGGGGATGGTTCTTTCCTCCTCCCCAATTTTCATGCTTCCATTTCAACATGGAAACCACTCAAATATTTCAAACGGAGATTAAAAATCAGTACTCAGCATTGCACAAACAGAGTGACGGATTGATGGGAATTGCAGTCTAACCCATCTGGATAGTACAAGGTTGAGAAAGGGCACTCTTGTTTATCCACATTTAGATTCCCATGATATAAAGCTGGAAAAGGACAAGGGGATGGGAAGGAAAAACACCTGCCCTGCAAAGAAAGGCCAAATAATTTGGGGCATTTTGGTTTAGAACGTGGACAAAACAAGAGGACATTTTAAAAGTCTCTAAAACAGTGTTTCTCAACCCTGGCAACTTTAAGATGGGTGGACTTCAACTCCCAGAAATCCCCAGCCAGCATCTTAAAGGTGTCAAGATTGAGAAACACTGCTCTAAAAGTATGGTAGGGATAGAGTAGAGAAAGATTTTCCTATTTTCTCCTGCCACCTTAATACTATAACCAAGAGTTGCTTAATGAAATGGATCTCTGGTAAACTCTTCTTAGATCAATCAGATCTTCTTCATGCAATGTATACATTTGTTACAGAAATCTCTTTTTGCAAGAGATCTGCATTTTGTCAGAATGGCTGTGAGCATGCACGGCTTTCAGAGTGGCAAATCACAACAAATAGCTCCACTGATGGCTGAAAATGATGGCAACTCACTAGATAAGCCAGCTTACCCAACCTGGCATCCTCCACACGGGCCTCAACTGGGCCCACCGTCCAACACTCCTGCAGGATGCCAGGCTGAGGAAAACTATGGAACAGCTTCCATGTGTGCAAGCAGATGATTTGAGGAAAGTGCTGTTGACTTTACACCCTTCTTGGAAGCATTTGATATGCTCGTGTCATAAACAGAGCCTTACAGCTTTCCTCTAATCCAGGAAGATCAGTTTTAGCTTGGCTTTTCCAGTCTGACTTCTTCCATTTGCTCTTATTTGGCATGATGGGCATTGTAGCCCCCCCTCTCCTGAGGGTGCTCAGGTGGGAAAAAAGCTGCCTTATCCTGTTTCTGGGAATGACCACCTGCATTCAAACCAGAGACACAAAATACTGCTTACTGGAACAATGTCATGGGATTCCTGAGACGTATTTACACAGAGACAAAGGAAAGGGGCTGATTCCCAAGAAGTTACTGCCAGTTCTGTATTTCTTTTCTTTTCTCTTTTCTTTTTTCAAACCTATACCATAGATTCCCCACCTTTTTGCTTTATGATCTGTGGTTAAAATTTTGAAAAGCAGCACAGTCCAGGAACAGGAGGGAGGCTAGTAAAAATGAGTGGTAATGAGCCTGTTTCCATGGAGACAGCTTCATCAGCATGCTGGCACAGGATGCTGTTCATCGGAGGGGGAGGGGCAGAGCAGGGGGAGAGCCTTCTTGGCTAATATGTAATTTGCCCACAAAAACAAGGAAGTGATTTGAAATTGTTAGTCTCCCAAAGGGTTCAGAGATGTTGGGTCAAGAGACGTTTTGAAAGCAAGATGTTTCCCATCCTGAAAGTTGGAAAAACCATGAATACCTGGATGGGAGGGGAAAAAAGGCCCTTGAATGGGAATGCAACAAAAAGGGGAAAGCCCCATTGTTTTTAGAGCACTGCTGTCACAATATTATTATTGTGAGTATTATTATTATTCAATAATAATAATATTATTGAATATTAATATTCAATAATATTATTCAAAATTCTAAGCAGGGGCAAATAATAAGATTTGAAGAGCAATCACCCACAATTGCTGGAAGTGGGGTGGCATATGTATTTGAATAGTAGTAGTAGTAGTAGTAATATCACAGTAGGTTCTTTACCGAGCTCTGTTTTGCAATTTGCATGATGGCAAATAAAGACTCCTTCAAGCTGAGCTTGTAGTTTACTTGGCACCAATATGGAAATG